CTCTCACACAAGTGGCACTCACCATAGGATCACAGGTCTTATTGCCAGTGATATTTGCACATCCTGGGAACGTTGTGTTTGCAACAGACACTATGTATAATGGAGCTCCAGACGTAGCAAGGTATCTGATGGGGGTCAGTTAAAGGGCCAATGAACCATTTTACATTAACACAACCCCTAATGTTGACATCCTGTAATATGCAGTCACTTATGTGGGGCTGACTGCCTGTTACTGTATGTGTGACTGTCTGCCTGTGAGTGTTTGCCTGTGATTGTGTGTGTGACTGTATGTGTGACTGTCAGTTTGTGACTGTGTGACAGTTTGCCTGTAACTGTGTGTGTGAATGGATTTGGCTGTGTGTTTGACCTGTCTGTGACTGTGTGTGTGACTGTCTGCCTATGACTGTGTGTAGCCTGCCTGTGCCAGTGTGTGACTGTGTGTGACACGGTCTACCTGTGACTGTGTGTGACACGGTCTACCTGTGACTGTGTGTGACACGGTCTACCTGTGACTGTGTGTGACACGGTCTACCTGTGACTGTGTGTGACACGGTCTACCTGTGACTGTGTGTGACACGGTCTACCTGTGACTGTAACTGTTACAGTCTGCCTGTAATTGTGCATGCTACTGCCTGTAAGTATTTGTGTGTGACTATCTGCCTGTAACTGTGTGTTTGACTGTGTGCGAATGACTATGTGCCTGTGGCTGTATTTGACAGTATATGTGTATAACTGTGTGCATCTGACTGTCTTTGCCCTGCAGTGAGCCGGCAGCTGGAATATGACGTCATCCCGGCATCAGCATCATTACAGTGCACGCAAGGGACCTGTGCAGGAAGAGCACAGAGATCCCAACAGCAACCACTTACCACCAGCCCTCCACTCTAGCCTTCCTAGAGCAAGGTAGGAAGGTGGGGTGGACCTCTTATTAAATGTGTGTATGTAGCAAGCAAATACGGGAGTTATCTGATAAACAAAGATCGAAGTTTAAAGGTGTCAGCCAGCCCACAACAAGAAATCTGAGTGGCTTATGTGAATTCTATGCAAATTTGTTGCCGGATGCCAGCTGGCATCAGACAGCCAATGGGAGCATATTACCCCATCCCCTAGTGAAATGTTTTAGTGCCCCACCAATTTTGACTGTGGAATTTTATGTGCCCCCACCCCCACATGTATTGTTCCTAGTGTCGCCACTGTGTCTGCATGTGTGTCAGTGTATCTGTGTGTCTATGTATCTGCATGAGTATATAAGTATCTGCATGTGTGTCAGTGTGTATATGTGCATACATCTCAGAATCTCACCAACACTACACACAAATACACCCCTTCATTTTAACGTCAACACTACATACAAACCCCACCATTCAATATAACCACACCACTGCATTCAAAAACCACACTACACACAAATGAATGCTTGCATTCAAATGCCAACACTACATACAAACACATCTCTACATTTACTCAAACATACTCCATACACAAACATGCTAACAATCAAAAACACAAACACTGCTCAGTGCTAAGTGCATTCAAAAAAATTGTGATTGTTTTTTACATTTTAAAGTGGGGGAGGGTGACAAAAATAGGACCCGCCGGGTGCCAAATGCTCTAGGTACGCCTCTGTGTGAAGGTATCCCTAGGCTGTAAACAAGTGTTTACTGCAAAAAGCCAGAAGGGAATGATTATACTCACCATAACAAAAACAATAAGTTGTAGTTGTTCTGTTGACTATAAGCCAAGCTTGACTCCACAAACCCCTTTTCTCTAGACAGTGAATTGCAAATCTTTGTTCCCTATGGACTAATTATACATCCCGTCCCCCCCAATTGTGATCATTTGATTGCATCTCTCTATTAAGTCTCATCACTTGCAAAATATGCCCAGATTTCTTCCATGAGGTCTGACTTGGTAAAAAGCCCCAGAGGGTCTGGCTCCATCAATGTTAAAGGATACAAGGCAGTTATCCCCCAGTATGTTATACAGACCAACAGGAGGACGAAAGTCACGACAGGGTAAAAAAGAGAGGACATTATGTGACCAATAGCCCTGTGGAGAGAGAGAACATGCTTATTATAGATTTTCTCCTCCTTCTACACAAGAGGTAAGTTCCACACGCCCTCACTCACTTGCTGGCTTCTTTAATCAGAGCGATTGCAATGAGAATCCGCTTCCTGAGGAACAGTAGAAGTAAGAGAAGGATCACCTCCACCACAATTAGTATGATCACTGCAGACGAGAGAGAGAGACAAGTCACTAGGGCAATGAAAGGTTGCAAGTTGTAAGAAAATCAGTGCAGTTGTATCATTTTTTTTGTCAGTCTATTTTTATTGAGACATAAGTATAACAGATGAAGACAGTATAAAAGTGACAATCTCAAGATATATATCAAGATAGGACACATAATATATATGTAATTATGTAATCTCAAACTTCAGTTATTATAAAATGCACTTTATTTTTATTTTTTTTATAGATATTGGAAAAAAATATATATATATATATGCAAAATACATCCCCAGTGCCTCTGAAGGGATTATAAAGAGACTAATGGTTAATAGCGGTTGTTAGTCTAACACGGAGCATTAGTGTGGTGATGGCCAGCCATGTAGGAAGTATTAGAGAGTAGGGTAATATTCACTGATAGCCGGCTATGTAGGAAGTATTAGAGAGTAGGGTAATATTCACTGATAGCCGGCTATGTAGGAAGTATTAGAGAGTAGGGTAATATTCACTGATAGCCGGCCATGTAGGAAGTAATAGAGAGTAGGGTCATACTCACTGATAGCCGGCCATGTAGGAAGTATTAGAGAGTAGGGTAATACTCACTGATAGCCGGCTATGTAGGAAGTAATAGAGAGTAGGGTCATACTCACTGATAGTCGGCTATGTAGGAAGTAATAGAGAGTAGGGTCATACTCACTGATAGTCGGCTATGTAGGAAGTATTAGACAGAAGGGTAATACTCACTGATAGCCGGCTATGTAGGAAGTAATAGAGAGTAGGGTCATACTCACTGATAGCCGGCTATGTAGGAAGTATTAGAGAGTAAGTTAAAATTCACTGATAGCCAGCTATGTAGAAAGTATTAGAGAGTAAGGTAAAATTCACTGATAGCCGGCTATGTAGGAAGTATTAGAGAGTAAGTTAATACTCACTGATCGCCAGCCTTGTAGGAAGTATTAGAGAGTAGGGTAATACTCCCTGATAGCCGGCCATGTAGGAAGTATTAGAGAGTAGGGTAATACTCACTGATAGCCGGCCATGTAGGAAGTATTAGAGAGTAGGGTAATACTCCCTGATAGCCGGCTATGTAGGAAGTATTAGAGAGTAAGTTAATATTCACTGATAGCCGGCTATGTAGGAAGTATTAGAGAGTAAGTTAATATTCACCGATAGCCGGCTATGTAGGAAGTATTAGAGAGTAAGTTAATACTCACTGATCGCCAGCCATGTAGGAAGTATTAGAGAGTAGGGTAATACTCCCTGATAGCCGGCCATGTAGGAAGTATTAGAGAGTAGGGTAATACTCCCTGATAGCCGGCCATGTAGGAAGTATTAGAGAGTAGGGTAATACTCCCTGATAGCCAGCCATGTAGGAAGTATTAGAGCAGGGCTGTCTACAACTCCCATGAGTCTTTTAATGAAATAGATAGCCAGGGAATCATGGGAGTTGTAGTTCAGCAACATCTGAGGGGCTGCAGGTTGGACAGCCATGTATTAGAGAGTAAGTTAATATTCACTGATAGCCAGCCATGTAGGAAGTATTAGAGAGTAAGTTAATATTCACTGATAGCTGGGTATGTAGGAAGTATTAGAGAGTAAGTGAATATTCACTGATAGCTGGCCATGTAGGAAGTATTAGAGAGTAAGTGAATATTCACTGATAGCTGGCCATGTATGAAGTATTAGAGAGTAAGTGAATATTCACTGATAGCTGGCCATGTAGGAAGTATTAGAGAGTAAGTGAATATTCACTGATAGCCAGCCATGTAGGAAGTATTAGAGAGTAAGTTAATATTCACTGATAGCCGGCTATGTAGGAAGTATTAGAGAGTAAGTGAATATTCACTGATAGCCAGCTATGTAGGAAGTATTAGAGAGTAAGTTAATATTCACTGATAGCCGGCCATGTAGGAAGTATTAGAGAGTAAGTGAATATTCACTGATAGCCGGCCATGTAGGAAGTATTAGAGAGTAAGTGAATATTCACTGATAGCTGGCCATGTAGGAAGTATTAGAGAGTAAGTGAATATTCACTGATAGCCGGGTATGTAGGAAGTATTAGAGAGTAAGTTAATATTCACTGATAGCCGGCCATGTAGGAAGTATTAGAGAGTAGGGTCATACTCACTAATAGCCAGCCATGTCTCCTTCACATTGAAGTAAACACCTATGTTCACAGTAAAACCAACATTCTGGATTGTACTTCCACTTTTATTCAGCGCATCGTACTCTGTGTAACAGTGATATATCCCTAGGAGAAGGAATGAAAACATTAATCAATGACGTTTGCTTCAATCTCTGATACACTTAGACACAGAGTGAGATTATTGTACATCCAGGTTTTATAGGAAATATTGGTGGGTGATTTATAGTAAAGAGACAGCTTGGGCACAGAGGGGAGTGATGGTGATTTATAGTAAAGAGATAGCTTGGGCACAGAGGGCGAGTAAGGGTGATTTATAGTAAAGAGATAGCTTGGGCACAGGGCGAGTGATGGGTGATTTATAGTAAAGAGATAGCTTGGGCACAGAGGGGAGTGATGGGTGAGTTATAGTAAAGAGACAGCTTGGGCACAGAGGGTGAGTAATGGGTGATTTATAGTAAAGCGATAGCTTGGGCACAGAGGGTGAGTAATGGGTGATTTATAGTAAAGAGATAGCTTGGGCACAGAGGGTGAGTGACAGGTGATTTATAGTAAACAGATAGCTTGGGCACCTAGGGCGAGTGATGGGTGAGTTATAGTAAAGAGATAGCTTGGGCACAGAGGGCGAGTGATGGGTGATTTATAGTAAAGAGATAGCTTGGGCACAGAGGGTGAGTGACGGTGATTTATAGTAAAGAGATAGCCTGGGCATCGAGGGCGAGTGACGGGTGATTTATAGTAAAGAGATAGCTTGGGCACAGAGGGCGAATGATGGGTGATTTATAGTAAAGAGATAGCTTGGGCACAGAGGGTGAGTGACGGGTGATTTATAGTAAAGAGATAGCCTGGGCATCGAGGGCGAGTGACGGGTGATTTATAGTAAAGAGATAGCTTGGGCACAGAGGGCGAATGATGGGTGATTTATAGTAAAGAGATAGCTTGGGCACAGAGGGCGAGTGATGGGTGATTTATAGTAAAGAGATAGCTTGGGCACAGAGGGCGAGTGATGGGTGATTTATAGTAAAGAGATAGCGTGAGCATAGAGGTGAAGAGATGATTTAGATTTCAATGAAAATATTTAATTAGGCCACATAGTTCCAGGTATAGATAGAAGTACTGCAAAAATTTCTGTTAAGAGTTATACCATATGCCGTGACTCCAATGACACCAATGATGAGGACCCAGACTAGGATCCCAGCAGTGAATCGAAGGAGGAGGAGGAACAGGAGGCTGACCAGCATAGCTATAACCAGTCCACTGGGGAGGAAGAGAGGAGAGACAGGACCACACATTCACCAATACTATTGAGAGACATGATACCAAATCTTTCACAAAAATTATGTGTCAGCTTCTAGTATAATGGAGCCATTAATGGGACCATACTGAAAATGGTGAGTAATAAAACATTATTCTGAGGATTAAAAAATACTTCCTGTAAGTCAAGAACATCTAGAAGCAAGACCGAAATATGGTCAGATCTTTTTTTTTACTCAATTATGCCGATATACATCTTCCACTGGTGACATTATATTTTATTTCCAACCCTATGTGGAAAATGCTTTTACAGTAAGATAAATGGATGATAATCATTATATTACATGATAACAATGAGTATCTTGGATACAAAGTGGAAAAACATAGGTTAGAACTTAGCGGACACTCACACAAGGATCCAAATCCAGGACTTTGCAAAATCCTCAAATATTTTCTTCCCCAAGTTTTGCAAGTTGAAGGTGTTCGCTATGGCACTGAAATAGGAAAAAAAGGAGAGAAAGAAATTCTAAAAATGACCAGCAAAATAACTTGAAAAAACAGACTGGAAAAAAAAAATTAATAATGGAAAGACAATAATGGACACCAATCATAAAACAAAATGTAAAGAAAAATGAGAGAAAATTACAGGTTAAGAAAATCACAGTAGAGGAGAGATCATGATGAGAGTTTCCCCCTCCTCCCCCCCTCCCCCGGTATAAATAAAAATGAAGGGGATAAAGACAGAGAATAAAGAAAATGAGAGAACACAATAAAGAGAAGACTAGTAATGAAGGAAGAGAAAGTCTCTCACTTGGAGGCATTCGTAATACTAGGAAGTGTCTGGTTTCCGATCAAGCTGTTAACTGTAAAATTGTCAGGAACTTTGAGGTTGGCGTTCGGGAAACATCTGTTTAAAACTGAGAAGAAGATCGATAAATGCTGCATGTATTATTTCTGGCATTTCAATAGCTCCAACATATTCTGCAGTGCTTTACAATATATGTATTGGACAAGATATGCTACAAGTTCACAACGCTAGTGCTCCTCAACCCTTTCCACAAGGCACACCTAAAAGTCCAGGATTTAGGTATTACCCAGCTGTGTCTAAGGTATTTAAAAAAATAATAATAACAAAGAGCGAATGAAGCAAGCAGAGACTCCATCATCAAGGTGGACGCTGCCAGTTCCCACAGCTTCAGCTCAGAACACCTTGATATTTCAGCCAGGCTGGACCGCATTTTTGAAGATTTCTGGTGAAAGCTGGAATGAAGGATACACCAATACTACCCACCACAAGCAAGTCCCAACCTACCCAGCGTGCCATCCCTTCATCCACATCGGGAGCCCACGCGTTGGAGAAGGACCCAAAATGGCAGAGACACAGGCTCCATCCAGTGCCTCAGCATTCGTCAACATGGGAGAAGGAGCCCTTGCAGACCTTACCGAGAGTGTCGGAGGTGCAGCGGGGAACCCAGATCCTGTCAATCTACTAGACTCACCTGTTTCCATATGGGCTTAGGGGCCAGAAGAATGTTCCTTTGTTGCAGGACTGTGTTCGACCCACAGAGGGTGTTGGGTGAAACAGTCTCTCTGATGAGGTCCTGATCAACCTTTGATCACGAACCTTGCGCAAGTTGATATTTGCATTATATTATATTATACTCCTCTTTTTCCATACTGTTACTTGCCTTACATATTATTCTCTCCTCTCACACTACTCACTTGGAAGCCTTCCAGGGTTCACTCTGTAGTTACACTACTAGAAGTTATCTTGTTTTCACTATTAAAAAACAAAACAAAAAAGTGCTTTTTTCATGACATTTTGGGCTCCGATCTCAAGCTTGTTCATCCTCATTATGTTAAACCTCTAATTTCATTGTTAATCTATGTAAGTAATCCTGCACATCAAAAATAAAGAATGATTTAAAAAAACTAAATAAAAAACACCTGTAGACTCTAAGGTGTTTTCTTCCCATTTTATAAACACCTTAGACACACCCAGGTAATCCCTAAATCCAGGACTGTTAGGTGTGCATGGAGGACAGGGTTAAGGAGCACTGCACTCCAAACGAGTACAAGGCTGTTGCAATGTAGTATCTGGCCAGTTAGAGAGCTCACATATTGCCCATCCACTAAGGTGACAATTTTAAATCAATAATAACAAATATATAAATGCCCAATATAAAAAAGCAAAAAAAAATAAACAAGAACCAAGATTATGGTAAAAGTGTATTTATCTCAAACCGCCACTAGAGGGCAGCTTTCTCCCAATAATACCAATACTGATCCCAGATACTTGAGATCTGTATAATTAAGTTATACTCTAATGTTATGGAGCAATGAGACAATTATAAAGGGGAAACTGAAAACACACACACAGCATAAAGCACAAATACAGATAAAGTGCTCAATCCTACTGCTTGGTATGAGGAGACGCAGTTTACAGTCCAAGATTCAAGGTGCAGCAGTACTTGCCCTAGATCAGAATAATCTTTGGTAGCAGAGACCCTTGGCTTCAGCCCCGGAACCGACAACGCATTTTGTCCTGTTGCTGTCTGGACTTCCTCAGAAGATGTGGTATCCCATTGGCTTCCTTCTTTAACCCCTTAAGGACCAAACTTCTGGAATAAAAGGGAATCATGACATGTCACACATGTCATGTGTCCTTAAGGGGTTAAATATGGTACTTTCACACCCTTGCTGGTCAGCGCATGTGTGTATTTGTGTTGTCGTGCAAGACATCTTTATTAGTGCCATCTCTTGGTTGTGAGGATCCTGAAACAGCTGTATGCACTACCTGAATAACAAGGCTTGTTAATTTCCATATACAGGTAGATTTGCATATTATAAATAATGTAGGCAGGGGAGATATTTCTTGTTAATTATTGTCCTCCCAAGCCCTTTATAAATATGTTAATGTGTTATTATGAGTTCCTCTATGTTGCTCCATATGATTTGAATATTTGTATTAAATTAAGTTTGTCTCCAAAAGTTTGATGTAATGAACATATGGGCTAGTCCTGAATAATAATTAAGCAGCGTGTGTTAGTTCCTTTTGGAACTGTGTGTTGGTTTATTCAGGGATTCCAGTAATAAAGTCTTTGGACCTGTTGGTTGGCTGCTTGGTCCCTGGATCTGAGGACAAGTGAAAAAGAGCTTGGCCTGAGAGCCACACGTTTAAAGGCTGTAGCTGACAATCTAGGCAAAGGTTTGGATACCTGCCTGGGAGAGGAGCTGAAGAGGCAAAGGCTGAGGGGTCATTACCTGCCTGGAGGAAGAGAGCTGCAGCCTGGTCCAGGGTGAGGGAAGTTCTCAGTGACCCCAATCAAGTGGGGCTGAAGCATTCCTCAGTCCCTGATCTGGGTGGAGGTATTCAGTCGGAGTACTAGAGCTCCATCACATTTGGTGGTAGCAGTGGGATGGCCTCCTAGCTATTGGGGAAATACCCAAGACACCACTGGGACCCCTGCACATCTTTTTGGACTCAAGGAGATGGATAGAGCTAGCATCCATGCAGCATCCTTATCATCAGAGGAGTTTTAGAGGAGCATGTCAGAGAGATTGGCTTTCTTTGGAGCCAATCCATCAGCAGAGGTGGTGCAACTTATCTGGGATGAAGTGTCACCATATATGGACCAAGAGAGGCAGATCTGCCTTGCCAGCCAGGCCCGTGCAGTGGCAAATGGAGGAATGCAGAAATCTAGGTGCCAGACCTTGAAGTTTCAGTGGTGACTACAAAAAGCTCTCTTCCAGTATGATGGCACTGTCTCGGGAGATGAAGGCATCCAGGAGATTCAGGTTCTCCAGAGAGAATCCCTCCCAACCCCAGAACAGCAACATCAATATCAACTGGATCTGTGGATACCTTTCCTGTGAGAGCAGCCCCTAGAACAATGGGTGGTTCAACTTAAGAGGCTGGTGTGGAAACAATTGTGGGTGGACGATGGTTACCAGTCTTTACCGTGGTATGCAGTCCGGCAGTACCCGTGGCTAGCTGATGACAAACCTCCAGAGGATGAGGGCAATGATGGCCCTGGCCTAATGTAGAAGGCCTTTAAGGAGAGGACAGAGATTAAAAGCCCATTCAGTGCTCAGATTCTGGGACATCCAGGCATGAGAGACCTCCTGGATCTCGCTGAAGCAACAGACCTGAAGAGGCAGAGAGGACAATACCTGCCTGGAAGGAGAGAGCTGCAGGGGTCGCTGAGAACTTCTTCCAGGGTGATACTCAGTGACATCCAGCCATGTAGGAAGTATTAGAGAGTAGGGAAATAACCCTGGAAGATGTTCTCAGCGACCCCAGTCAAGCTTCGGTGACTAGGGCTGTCCCTTTTTTACATTTGTGTCAAGACAATTTATCTTTTTATTTTATGCTGCATGCAGATCTGCTATTAGAAGCAATTACAATTGTCTACAACTTATTTCATTTTCAGAGAAAGAGAAGATAAATGAAACTGCTCAAGGAATCCAAAGTAATTTCTTCGATTTTTCTTAAAGGTACAGTACACAAAATTTATTCTGCAGTTGTGTTCCTCTATCTTGTCTAATATCCCCCGAAACATAACAGGAAGAAGATGGGAGACCACAGCTGCTAAGGAAGACCAGAAAGCGACAGGACGAAACGCGTTGAGCTGGAAATCAAGGGCCTCTGCTACCGAAGAGCACTCAGATCTGGGACAAAGGTTTACTTGCACCTTGGATCTTGGACTGTGGACTGCGTCTTTTTCTTAACACGCAGTAGGATTGAGTCCTGTGGCATAGCCTTTTTGCACATTTATTTGTGCTTTATGCTGTGTGGGTGTTTTTATTCTCCCTTATTTGGGGGAATAAATATATGTTACTACACTATATATTTTTATATATATATATATATATATATATATATATATATATATATATATATATATAATACACAAGATCCAGCGCACTCACCTATCCACTAAACAGCAACTTCAATGTTGAAAGATTTTATTTGTTTTTTTAAAAACACCTAATCTAGGCAAAAATAATGGGGGTTTAGTTACATTATATGATCATACATTGCATAAGCCTGCCACAACGTCAATGTACCCCATCTTTGGCAGGTCCTACACTAACAGCCTAATGTCTGCTCTTATGAGATTAACCTACTTGGGGAAAGAAATTCCATCTGGGGCTCTCTGCAGTACAAGGCTAAATAGGGCCCTGGGATGAGGCACCTGTGACAGGGAGGGGTGCAAAACCAAGGAGTTGGCTAGACTCCCAAATATATATAAAACAAGAGGGGGTTGGCTGCACTCACCTTAACATGCATAAATGGGGGTGCTGCTGGGGGCCAAATAATACAATACACAAGATCCAGCGCACTCACCTATCCACTAAACAGCAACTTCAATGTTGAAAGATTTTTTTTTTTTTTTTAAAAACACCTAATCTAGGCAAAAATAATGGGGGTTTAGTTACATTATATGATCATACATTGCATAAGCCTGCCACAACGTCAATGTACCCCATCTTTGGCAGGTCCTACACTAACAGCCTAATGTCTGCTCTTATGAGATTAACCTACTTGGGGAAAAAATTCCATCTGGGGCTCTCTGCAGTACAAGGCTAAATAGGGCCCTGGGATGAGGCACCTGTGACAGGGAGGGGTGCAAAACCAAGGAGTTGGCTAGACTCCCAAATATATATAAAACAAGAGGGGGTTGGCTGCACTCACCTTAACATGCATAAATGGGGGTGCTGCTGGGGGCCAAATAATACAATACACAAGATCCAGCGCACTCACCTATCCACTAAACAGCAACTTCAATGTTGAAAGATTTTATTTGTTTTTTTAAAAACACCTAATCTAGGCAAAAATAATGGGGGTTTAGTTACATTATATGATCATACATTGCATAAGCCTGCCACAACGTCAATGTACCCCATCTTTGGCAGGTCCTACACTAACAGCCTAATGTCTG